TGTGTGTGTGTGTGTGTGTGTGTGTGTGTGTGTGTGTGTGTGTGTGTGTGTGTGTGTGTGACAAAAGCATTGAATAGCCCTCTGCTCCTGGCTACCCTGGGGCTGGGTGGGGATGGGGGGCGGGCAGAGGTCCGCAATAGGCAATGGCTTGATTCCCCAAGAGAAGCCCAGCTTTGCCAGGGACTCTTCTCAGTCCAGGCACAAATTGTTACCTACTGGTGTGTTGGTTGCCCATTTGGTTGATGAGTGTTACAAATCAGAGCCACGAATGTCCCAACTTGGCAGGGTGAGGAGTTCAGATTGAAATGGTCTGAACTTTCCTTTGATAATTAGAGACAGGTGAAATCTGAGGACAGGGTGCATGCATCTTCTAAGGAGGAAGAACTGATCCCCAGGAAGGGAGGGAGGGAAGGAAGAAGGGAGGAGGGCACCACTTCCTTTCCAGCTTTACTCTTAACAGACCTTCACTCTTAGCAGCTGGCGGGCACCATTCTACCATTTTTGGAGCCTAGTGGTGGGGTTGTCCTGCAACCAAGATTGAGGGGCACAGGATGAGTGGGGCTGCCAGCAGGTGGCAGCAGGAACGCACATGATAATCAGAAATATCGAGAAAACCCTCAGCCAAGAAGTGGGAAGGCGTTGGACTTCTTCTCGGTGGTTTTCATCTTGACTCTGGCTGAGAACTCGAAGGAATGAAATTTTTCTAGATTATGTGACAGTTGGGATTCCTTGGAAAAGCACAGGTATTAGAATGGGTTTGATTCTTTTGTGAATTTAGGACCTTAACATTTGCTAGGCAAGCTCTCCACCGCTTGAGCAATACTCAATACTTTTTGCTTTTAATTATGTTTCAGGTAGGTCATGTTTTTGTTTGCCACTCCCCCTCTCCCCTCCTCTCTTCCCTCCTCCCTCTCCTTCCCCCCCCCTCCCCCCGCCCCACTCAACATGGAAGACCTCCTACCTATACCTCCTGCTTAGGGTTAACAGATAGGAACCACCATACCTGACTTCTTTGTTGAGATGAGGTCTTGCTTTTTTTTTTCTGGTGTGGACTCAAACCATGGAACTCCTCATTTGTGCCTCCTAAGTAACTTAGGTGGAATCATAGACATGGATCTCCATATCTAGCCTGAGTTTGAGTATTGATATTGCCATTGTATAGCAATTATCTCTTTGACAAATTTTCTCATTTATAAAACAGAGCTGATAGTGCCTTCCTCACTGGGATGGCAGGAATAAAAGAGTAAATGATATATTATTAATGCAATTGAAAGGTGGGGAGGGTATGGAAGGTAACTGTTCAAGAGAGTTGATTCTTTTTTTCCTTTTATAACCTTATCATTATGAAGTCAAGAATTTCTCAAACTGAATGCATTTGTTTGTTGATTCACTCATATTCATCTGTAAGGACATTCCCTAGATAATATGTAAGCTGGCTTCTAGAAGTCTGTATGACACATGGATTTCACAGGTGTGGTCCATGTGTGGTCTAAGTGTGTCTCATCAAGGTACTATGTGTGCTCCAATGGACAGGTCACAATGAAATTCATTGGGCATGACTAATTGATGCTAGTAACAAGATGTGGAAAAAATAAAGCATTTCCAACTGGGCATGGTAGTACATGCCTGTAATCTCAACTAGAGAAGCAGGAGCAGGAGGATCACAACTTGAAGAGGGGGGATTCTCAAAAAAAACCTCAATATAAACTATTCTTAACCCCCAACAATACAACAATTTAGTAAAAGCAGTTCAACAATGACAATGAGCACTATGCTTCATGGCCACACCCTTTGCCTGTGGCCATAATGTGGGCATGGATCTGGGGGAATGGATAGCTTTCCATAATTATCCTCTTAATGTATGGAAAGGTGATGAGCTCAC